CCCCCACTCCCGGGCCTGCCCCCGGTGGGCGCCGGGGCGAATCCGGGCCGCCAGGCCGAAGCCCGCCACCTGGCCCCCAGGGGCACCCCTTTGCTAGTGGTCTCAGTTTCCGCCGACTAAGCACGCGCCGACGGATGTGCCCCCATGAGCCCCTCGGGAGATCTACGACGACTGCCATGGTGACGACTAACACCACCAGCAAAGTTAGGGGCGAGCCTTGTGTTCCCAGGACTGCAGAAGCGCTTCTCACGCGGAGCCCTGCGCCCTCCCACTTGCAAACGTGCAATTCCCAGATGGGGAGGGGTCACGTTTTGGGACCTCTGCATCTCCTTAGAGGGAGGACACTTTACATCAGCATTTCCCAAACTGGCCCTAATAGGTGCCCCTGGAGAAAGGGCTTCTGAGGTCAAGGAGGTTTACAGCCAGGGCCCTCTGGGCCAGTTCAAAGCACATTAACAAATGAAAACATGTCCCGCCCTCCCCAAGTTCTCCAGTAAATAACCTTTATGGCTTTGTGTAATCGAGTATTTCCTTGAATTTATTTGCCTTTAGAGGCCTTTTCTTCTGTGAAATGAACTTAGGTCCTGCAAAATACATAAAAGCCAGCTTGGCGAGATACCCAGGCCTTCCCACAGACGTGCCAGTTAGGGGGCCTGTCCCCATACGGCCCCTGAATGTGTGAGAGACTGCTGCACAGCCAGGACCCCCTAGGGAGTAACTGTCCTTGGTGCCTTGGGCCGGCCTGGGACTTGTCCACTGTGGGAGAGAGACTCCGTCCTCGCTCTTCCTCCGTGGTGGCTCGTTTCTCCTCCTTTCCTCTGCCCCATACACTGACTCCATCGGTCTGGGTGTCTTTTTTCTCTTTCTCTGGTCTCCTTACTGCCCTGCTCAAGTTTTCTCAGGCAACCACACGCCGTCAAGAACCGGGGGGGGGGGAGGCGGGTTGCGCACGCATCTCACTTGCGCGCATGCGCGCGGACGCATGCGCGTGCCCCTGTGAGCGCTGACGAAATTGATCAGAGCCGGGTCCAGCGCCTCAAAACCAACATCTCTATAAATTTAGACGCTACATTAAATAGGAAAGACTTAAGATTATCCATAGTGGGCGATGAGCCGCCCGTCGTCTTTCCACCAACTCCTCTCAGCCCCTCCCTGGCCATCCGCCCCT